CATCGCCCGATAACGGCGATTCGTGTGGCGGTGTTGGTCCGGCGAACCGGTCCAGTACCGGAGAATGTGCAACTTGAAATGTTGCAGATCCTGCTCACGCTCCCAAGAGGGGCGTAAAAGGCGTTTCCAATGGGTCTGATATACAACCGCCATTGTGCTACCACGACCCAGGACGGACTGGTGACCGCTAATGCGTTCAACCTCGAGGCGTTCGACCGGAGTCGAGACGTCGGTTTCCGTAACATGGTAGGGAGGAGATTTTTATTCGCATAAGAATTCAACAAATACGGGGTGAGACCCGCAAGAAGAAAACGTGGCAAGTCGTCGGTATCGTGAGGATTAGCACAAGGCTTACAACGCACTACAGACACACGACGTTTCGAGTCTTGGCCCGGCTGATTCGACGGGAGGTCCAAGTAGAGCAACTTAGACGCCACGGGATGGCCATCAGGGGCTTCGGAACACGGGCCAAATGGCAGAATTTTGAACGGGCCAGTCCAGAGCAGAGACAGTTTGGCTTTGAGTTCCTTGTCATCTGTACCTGAACGAACACCTTGGCGAATGGTAGATTCGGAGTTGTGAAACCAAACCCATCCACCGACAGTGTAAGAGGGAAGCTTGCGTAAAGCATCCGAGAGGGTGGAGTTCCACCGCTCGATCCGTGAACGGACAAAAGGTGCTGTTCACGCACTAAGTCGTATGAACAACGTTGGCGGCCAGCAGCGAGATCGCAACACTCAAGTTGATCACGATGCAAACTTTGGTGGCCACGAGCGTAGGGATGCTCGAGAACGGTCATCGGTAAACGCGGCAAGCGGTTCATGTGCACCTCGTTTGGCGCTAAACTAGTAGCAGCACTAACCGAATTGTTGAATGCAAACTAGACGTGTGGCAGATGAACGTCCCAATCATCGTGCCTCTCGTTGACGACCATAGCCAACATCTGAGCCATAGTCTAGTGTGATTGACACGCTCCACGCCCCCGTTGCCGTTGGGATGGTAAGAGCTAGTAGCCACTTTGTGAATAGCAAGCCGGTCGTACACGGCTTGTGACAGTTTAGATCAAAACTGAGAGCCGTCGCCAGACAAAAGACTCAACCGGCAACCCCACAATGGGATGTACCGGTTGACGAGGACGTCAGCGGTGCCTTCGGCGGTGAATTCGGCAGCAGTGACCGCGTACATGTCAGCTCGGCGGCTGAAGCGATCAGTGAAAGCAGAATAGGCGTTGCCACGAGGGGTCAACGGAAGAGGATCAAAGTAGTCCACACTCACCGATACTCCAGGGCCTGAAGGCAATGGAAGGCACAATGTAGGCCACCGACAAGTTTGGCGAACCTGCGGGCTCGGCATTGAAAACAATGCCGCACCCACCATTTGGTACACTCATGCCAATCCACCAATAATAAAGTGTGCGAGCTGCACCTAGATGGAAGAACGCATTCGCGTGACATGCTTGCATGATCCACGGGCGCATAAGCATGGGAACGTAAATCCGGATGGATTCATCATTGAGAAGGCGAGCTGCACGTCCACCAGGGCGGGGGTAAGCGGGAGACGGAGTTTTTGGTCGGCTTGCGAACAAGCAAGAAGACCAGACCGTCATCGTCAACGTGCAACGCGGCCTTCGGTAGCCAGGTCACGAATCTCCTACATAAAAGGTCGACGAGTGAGCGGAACATGATCATCCCAGAAATTCGACGGAAGAACGGAAGGTCGATCCAGAAGGATGTAACGAATTGCGGCATCACACACAAGTTCGTTACGTTGCTCGCGAGCCCAGTCGGCATGCGAGAAACGTTCTACAGTTGCCCGGAACTCCAATTCCGCCGAAGAGTGCAAAGCCACCTCCATTGAAGAGGGGACCGACTCCGGGGGCGTCTGCTGCAGCCCTTGAGAAGGCAGAGCGATGGACGCCGGGGGCGGGTTCGCACGAGCGATCGAGGCCAAACTCGGCGAGGACTCCGAGGAGTCGGGAGGTGCAGGACATTGTAACGAAGTGGCAGAGTCCACTTGAGAAGCCGGAGACACCGAATGGAAGGCGGGCGGCGTGTTCGGCGCCGAGGGCATCGTCGGGGACCGTCGAGGCGGTCGAGACTGGACGGAAATCCGTGTAGGGGACGGAGAAGACGGGTCGTCGGAAAAACCGTAATCGACAGGCGGGAGCGGCGAACCTGGCACAGCTGCCGTTTTGCGGCGTGCACGTGTGGAAATCACCTGGGTGGGGTCGAGGGTCCGGCGTGGAGTGACGACCGACCGAGCGGCCGAAGCAGACGCAGGCTCGAGGGCCAGAACTGTATCAGCTGAAGTCTGTCGCCAAGAAGCGGGCCACTTGACGGTGGGAAAAGCACGTTTGGGACGAAGCCGAAGGAGCGCGCGAGGAGAAGACGAAGGCACAAGGGCCGTGAGAGGCGAAGTATGGATGCTCCAAACGCCAGGCGAAGACGCAAGGCCGGACGGTGGAAGGCGCGGGCCCTGGGTGCGAAAATCGACAAAGTCGTCCGCAGAGGGGGCAAGCCCACCCGAGACCGAACTATGATTAATTGGAACGAGCCCACCCAAGCCAACACCCACGGTCTGATGGCCGGGAGGGGTCAGGCCGCAAGAACGGATGATGACACGGTGTCCTCATCCGCAGCCGGTGTTAAACGACTACGACCCGAGCGGTCACATTCGGCCGCAGCGACTGGAAGACGAGAGAGGAAGTCGGCGCTGCCGTTGGCAGAGCCCGTGCGGTACTCCAGAGTGTAATTGTAGGCGGCAAGGTATTCAAGCCAGCGTTGGACACGAGCGTTGTTCTCCCCCACGTTGGCAAAGGCTCAAGAGATTTGCGGTCGGTGAAAATTCGAAACTTAGTACCCCACAGGTAACCGCGAAGGCGTTTGATGCACCACACAATGCTGCCCGCCTCAAGGTCGAGGGGAGTCCAGTGTTGTTCGGAGTCCAAAGTAGCCCGGCTGATGAAGACGATCAGACGGATGGATCCGTCTGGCTGTTCTTCTTCGAGGGTCACACCGAATCCATCGCGGCTATCATCATAGGACAGATGGAAAGGTCGCGAACCGTCCGAAACGGCATCCCAATCTGGATAAACCAAAACAGGAGGGTTGGCCAACTCTGACATCAGAACGCGGACGGCTTGCTCCATACAAGGGGTGAAGAGGAAGTTCACCTGGTTCTCAACATAATTTTTCTTAACTGCGGGCCGTACTGTAAATATTCTTCCCTTCTTCCCGTTGCCCTTCTTTACTTTAGAAGGGGAACTGAACTTGAAAACGGGCATACTCACGAGGTCCTCCACGTACTTTTCGACAAGGGCACGTCGAGCGTGCTTGAGTACTTCGGCGCACTAAAGCGGGGCACGTGGCGCAGCGCACGACGCTATGCCCGGTGCCGAACCTCCGGAGTTGTAGGGTGGTCGGCATTTAAACACGCGACACCGCCGGCTTCTTCACCGACTGGAGTCCTAGCGAGCTCCGCAGTGAATGAAATGTAAAAGCAATTTTGTAGTAAATGATGTGGATACAACGTGTCCGCAGTCGCTCGGTATGATGGCGGCCCACCCACACGTGTCCATACGTGAAAAGAACACCTGGGGTCAAAATCGAGGTCTTGAGAGAAATTCGGCAACAGAAATTGAAACCCCTGAAGGGGCTTCAGAAAGGCGCCTTGGATCACGGATGATCAAGTACCCGTCGTGTCGGGCCACCTTTGACTCTTAAGATGTTGCTTGAGGCAGCGACCACGCCCTTACATGCCCTCAACATGTGTCCTCTGGTCAACATGGCCAAGCACGTGGTACGTGCAAAAACATCCAACGGCGAGGTGGATACCAATGGTTGAATGCGAAATAAAAGATCGCATTGGATCACGGACGAACAAATACCGTTCCGTCGGATAGGGCCAACTTGTACCGCTCCTCTTCGGCCCACATGCCGTCAAATCGACAAAAAAAACAGTCTCGTACCTACCTGACTGATGTAACATGAGCCTTCAAGCAAGCGGCAAGCCGCCATGCACCACGCACCCACTTGTTGGCTGCGGAAGCACGGCAGTCAGCGCCCCCAAAAAAACCGCCCAAAAAAAAAACAGTACATGCGCGCTAGTTGAAACCGGAAAGCTGCTGCTGTTGCTGCTGCTGTTGCTCAAGGCTTTTACACCGTCGTCACCAAGACGGACAACAACCCTGCCGCTACTACTACGGTACTTGTTGGCCTTGGTTCTCTTGCTCCTTCTCCCCTGTCCTGGATGTGGCCGCTGCCTGATTCTCTCGCGCGCCGTCGGCTCTCGGTAATAAGTCTCAACACCCCCTCCCCCGTCCGTGTCTGGCGCAAGAACAAACACTCCAGGACAACTACATTTCAACACGCTGATGCCGATGCTCCCGTCTTTTCGTACACTGAGAGCAACAGCAGCATCAGAAACCATCCTCTCCCTGCTCCTCTCTAAACCCCATTTTCATAACACCCAGGTATCATAGTTTGTCCCCCCCCTCCCCAGCCTCATCGACCAAGATGATGTCGGTCGGCCGCCAGGTTGGCTGGCTGCAGTGGATGCCCGCTGCAAAACATCTACATAACAATCTGACCATCCACCGCTTTGGGGGCTCCGTGCCTCCCCCGCCCCCCCCAGCATGCTTGTCGGACCCAACCAGACCCACACCACGCCGAGGAGAGGAAGTGATAAGACAGGAATAGGTAGTAGCGATTCAGAGCGAACGGAGCACGAAGACACAGTAAAAGCTAGCACCAAAGCCGGCGCGATCGGTACGCCAAGCGGCCAAGAGCCGACAGAGAGACGGGAAACGAGGAAGGTCGCCACACCGCTGCCGGTACGCCCACCACGTGGTATTTGATTTCGACGCGTGCGGGTGCCCCTAGGGTGGACGAAACAACACATACTCCGCGCCCCCCCCCCCCCCCCCCCCCCCCCCCCCCCCCCCCCCCCCCCC